TTGGTTTTTTTTTTTTTTTTTTTTTTTTTTTTTTTTACACTGGAGTCTAAGAGCTCTAACTTAACATCACAGCAAATAAAATTTCTCACAGTGGTTACCAGATTAGTAAATCTTCAATGCCTGAAGCATTTAGCATTCTTTATGCACTAGCAAGGAACATCATCAGGCATCTATACTTAAGGTCCAGTCTAAATAAGGAAGAGACCATTGTCCTCCCACAAGGGCATTTCTAAGGAAAAGCAATTTCATCTTAACACAGAATATCTTCCTGCTTACAAAGCACTCTGCAACCTGCTTTCCTAGTTAGGTCCAATAAAATTACTGGGCCAGTAATAGCAGACGTTAAAACCTCTGATGGTTTTAGTACAGTTTTGTTTCTATCTTAATGCTATTTTCTCTGTGAAGAGGCCTAGTGGTTACAACAATACAAGTTTTTTAACATATCAAATGACATTGAAAAATTCAATATTTATCTAAGGAAACAAGAAGTAGCTGAGTGGGGCATTCAAAATTGAATAAACTCCTTCCAAAAGCTGGAGAAACATGATGGGGTGATCTCTGTAGCATTGTGGATAGCATCCCAAGTGTACCTGCAATACTGCTAAAAAGAAATTTCTGAAATTCACTGAAAGTAAAACCTACTCTGTACAAAGTTTGAATACAGAGTCATGTGTTCATATATGGCATGATATAAACAGGCAAAAAATAACTACAGTATACTGCTACACAGCACGTTTAGTTTTCCAGTTAAACTTGATTGAAAAAGTGTTTTCATGGCTATTGAACAGGAGGCATCATTTTCAATGTTACAAAAAATGTAATTTCATTTTGGTTGTATAACTACCAAAAGAAAGAGCTTGTGCAGCAATGTATTCACTAAAAGTAATTAAATACCAAAATCGAGTCTTTCTACAAGCTTTCACCACAGAAAATAGCAAGGGGAAAGTAATGTCTGCTAATGCACCTTAATCTGCTCTCTTGCAAAAACAGAGAGCTGCAAATTCTGGGACTCTGCAGAAAAACACCTGCATTTATAGAGAAATCTCTCAACTAACAAGAAGAATTATTAAAAATGGGATAAATAGAATGAAGGCAAATTATTTACTGCTTCCATTCCACTGATAAATAGTGGAAAAACAAAGACGTTAATATGGATACACAAAGTGAAAAAACTCTGGAGACGTCTCCAGCAGATAGGATTTATTCCTTCAAGACAATAACATGCCCCAAATCATAACAGTTCTCTAACAGATTTTACAGAAGTTACACAAATGATCCAAACAGTTTTAAAACAAATTTTAAGATTACGTATTTCCAGAAGAATTACTTCTATTCTGTGCCTTAAGTATAGTCTTGAACGTCAACACAATTTTTTCATTTAAAAAGACATCCTTGGCTCCTGTGACTGCAAAGAAAACGCAACATAATTGGCATCATGTTCTTTATGTATTTAGCATTCCTTTCAGCCTTTTGCCAAACCCAGTATGGTCTACTGCTTTTCCCCACCACCTACTACAGAGTAAGGGGCAGGGGAAAGACTACTCCCAATAAAATGGTAACTTTTGTTTTCCTGACCAGCACAATCCCTTACATCATTTTCTCCTCAAAATGGATGTTGCTGAAACCATTAGCATAATCACAATGCTGTTTCAATATGCAGGTACCATAGCTATGAAGCCTGAACTACCACAATACTCGATTCATAGTTCTTACTACTTTGCAAAAACATAAGAGGGTACGTGGACAGGAATTACATTACACTAGGGCATTTCAGGTAGATGAACATGCATTTATTCTCATAAATTATGCTTATGAGATTATACCCGCAATATATTGTGCTCAGTCAGTAAAATGGAGGATAAGCTAAGTTCTTATTGTGGTAAACAAAGGAAAAGTATACATTTAATAAAATAGCTAATCTATAATATTTTGTTAGAGAAATTTCTAAAGTGCTCAAAGAAATGTAATGTACAGGAGAAATTTGTTAGTTAGTTCCACCAAATCTGAAAACTTACCATTTTATCTAGGTGCTCAATGGATCTATAAATTTCTCCTTGGGATTCATCATAGTAACTGTAACGGAACCTCTGACCTTGAAACAAAAATCATGTATAAAATAAAAAAGGGAAAAATCGTAGCTAAAACACTCCCTAGTACTTACTAATTAATTGAAATTATAATATTTGTAAAGTAGTAATCTTCATTTATTTTATACTTTTTAGCTCCAGTGAGGAAATTCTAGGGCAATCAAAGTAGCAGCCCTGAAGCGAAATAAAAAAATACATGATGGGCAGCTATATTCCTGAAGAAAAACCTACTATGTAGAACCGACACTGCAGTATCACTTATTAATTGCCTGTTACTGCCTTGGAATACAATTCCATATATTAAAATTAAAGCAACATTTAATTTCACTATCCCTCTTGACAAAGTCAACTCTGGAGTCAGGCTACTTCTGCTTGCGCAACACAGTAAATGAAGGTTAAAAGAAAAAGTTCATGATAATTCAATGAACAGTTCTAGATGATTCATTAGCCACAACAGAACCCAGGTCATTCTTATATTCCTCCATCTATTCCACAATTCAAAGAGAAGTAAAATATGCACTTAATTACATAAGTTGACCAAAGATGACAATGAAAAAAGGGAAGAAGGTCTGTTGTGTAACATAAAACATATCTTTCGGAAGCAGTCCCTTTTCCAGCTACTTCACACTTAAAAGAAAAATATTGTGTTAAAGCAATACAGAAGTCAAGGCTTCTGCAGTCTATATAGCTCTGCCACCAAGATGAACTGGGATAGCTCTGGTGAATTGGCATAAATACTCCATCTGCTATCTTACCCAGCAGTAAAACGTACAAAACTTATTTCCATCAGAGGGATGTTGCCATGTCCAGTGAATTTTTAGCTAATTAGTTTTGCAAGTTGCTTTGAAGTGCTTAAAAGAAGAGTAAAAACAGCAAGAAACTTCAGACACTTATTTCATTGCAACAGGAAGGAGATGCACATAAACCCATACATTTTCACCATTTATTTCCTCCACTACACTGAAAACACATTACCGCATTAATATTTTTCATCTATTGTTCCAGATTAAAAAAAAAGTAAATCATTTTTTAGCTTTACAAATGCATTTAAGTTTCAAAGATACATTTATTAAAAGTTAGAATGTTCAATGTTTAATAAAATACATTATTTGAAATCACTACACAATAATCATCATACTGCTATAATGAAGAGGTGTGAAACTTACCCCAATGGCAAAAGTCAGAAGAAACCACAAAGAGGTTACTAGGATCAGCTAGGTATTTACTGAAGAGTTTTCCAAATTCCTGCTCTTTTGACTCACTCAGTGCTCCGACCAACACAGGAATAATAGTAAACTCATCCTTATGGCTTATAAGCAAAAGAAAAGAGGTTGTAATTCAAGTAACATCTGAATTTTTTTTCAAGGGCTTGCTAACTGAAATTGCAGAATGTTTTAAAAGGGCCTATTGAATTGAAGATACAGTTAATTTGTTAAGGTCATACTAGGAAGTTGTTTTAGAACCTGAAACTACTTTCAGAAAATAATCTCATCCCAAAACAGTATTTATCTTTGTTGCCAAGTGAAAACACCAGGCAAACATAAAGAAAAGACACAATGCAACTAGCAATAAAGTAAAAATGAAATTCTCCCTGTATAGATGTTGCACAAACATTGGGTAATTTTCCAACTTATATAAAAATGCTCACAACAGCACCTAGATGTATACAGATACTCCAGGGAAAATTACAAATGCTATGGAAGTTAAAAAAAAAAAAAAAAAAGAGGACAGGGAAAAAAAGCATTACAAATTGACAAAATTGATCACCTTTAAAGAAAAATTATTCAAAGCACTCATCTGAAATAGCAGTGTAAACAAAACCCTGATTTCAAAACTAGTATTAAGGCTTCAAACAAATCTAAAATCCCACAGAAAACACCTATTAGTATTTGAACTTCTTTCAGAGATGCCTTGCTAAATGAAACAAAAAAAAAATAATCAGCCATTGAGAAAGATTCATGAAAGCACATCTAGTATTAACTCCATTAAGTCAATATAAACACATAAACTTGTCTATAAGTGGTATTCCAATTTCATCATTCAGGTGTTTGCTCTGCTCACAGTTTCTATTACAGCAACTAATCCTTGTCTCTGACCTTCTCCTCCCCCAAATTTTTACTAGAGAGTGGGCAAGTGTATTATACACTATATAAGGTATTATATACCATAAAGGGTATTACTTCCTACTGCACTTAACATGCAGTTCAAACATTTAATGCACATAATGCTCGATCTTATAGAAGAAGTAATTAGCCCTAGTACCTTTCCATGGCTTTAGCAGTATAAGGCAAATGCATTTCAATACTGTGTTCATCTTCATCTGTCTGTAGGGACATACGCTCAAACATTCCAGTCTTCCACAATTCTCCATAAACTGAAATGAATTAAAGATTAATTTGTACTACTGTTTGTTTGTTTATGGTGGTTTTTAAAAGTGTATCTTTATCAGAACAAGCTCTCTATAACAAATTACTTGCTTCTGAGGGCTGTCATCATAAACCACTTGTTTTTAAATAAATTCAGGATTTAAAAAATGATCAAGTCATTAAGATACAAACATAACTGATTCAGTTTACAAAATAAATGTGTTAAATCAGTGACCTTGTTAGTATATTGAGAAAGATTTTCAGCTATAATACAAAACTTAAGTAACACAAATAAAACACATTTGAAAATATGCATGCATTTGCCCCGTCACAGAATTTTTTTCACAGACTACACCATCATACATTTAAAAAAAATTGCTCATCAGCTGAGCCATTGCTGGATGTGATATTTTTTAATACAATTTATTATGAACTGAATCATGAAATCTAAAGACAGCAAAAGCTGATTAAGTAATCCACATTTATAAGTTATCTTTTCTACTCAGGTGCGCTTGGTGGTATGTCGAGCCATCTCTACATTTTGAAAACTCTTCACTGAATGAAGACTTTGATGTAGGGCTGTGCCTCCTCCTCACTCCATAAAGGAGTTCTACAGAAACCAAAATATTTGTTACCTAAGGAAATGTCTGCAGGCACTATGGAAAAAGCCTGAACTAACTTGCTTACAGTCATTATGAAATAGCAATACATCCGCGCTAACTAGGCTTTCTGAAAAAGATACCATACTATTCAGGTTTAACTCAAAACACATCAAAGTCAAAATATCACACTTATCTTCATCTCACCATTAAACTTAGTCCATGAAGTACCAGTTTTTCAGACTAACAGTTTTTAAGTTCTGTAGGTACTCTGCCAGTTAGAAGAGTCATATGCAATAATGCATGCAAATAAAAGCAGCTTTTTGTTCCTCTATTATTCCTCTATCAGAAATAAACTCAAACCAACTAAAGCACTATCTTTTCTGCAGACAGAATACTTCACAGAATAATGAAGCAGGTGTGTAATGGGCTATTATTCAAATGTAACACTTTTTAATTTTGAGATCCCTTTTAATGATCACTTATCAAGAGGCACACACTCATAACAGAAAAGATAAACAAAGATTGAGAATTCTTTACTTGCAGGAGCAAGAGGGACATTAAGGTTATAATACAGCAATGCCTGCAACCACCAGGATCTTTCAGAAGTTAGCTTTCATTGCAATGAAAACTGATTTATTCTGGTATGCCACAATGCAATGAAGTGCCCAGCAAGAGAGTCCTCAGCACTGCAGTACCACCATTAATACTCAAGCCTCAGCAATCTTCACGATGTAAGCTTTATCATGCACTTACTCTTTTGGTCAATTCGGAGATCATACAGAGGTGTTCTATAAATGTCCACACTGGAAAGTGCACATCTGGAAAGGGGCACGTGATGGGAAGGCCCAAGAATGAAAATTTTTCGGCTACAATAGTTAACACAAAAGCCCACAATTTAGACAACTGCAATTGTACAGAGACTTGGTTTAGATTAACAAGTTAAATAAAAACGTACAAAGTGATACTTTCTGGTGGTTACCAATACTCTGCTGTGTGTAAGACCAATGCATGGCCTAGATCTCCTCAGTATCTCAGATATGATCATGAGATGAGTTGAATAATGCTTCCCACAGTCTTAAGACCATTTAAGCAGGTTATACATCAGAGGGCACTCATCAACTAGAAATCTGTCTGACTGGACTCTAGAGGCTGAATGAGGTGTTATAGCCCCTTAGAACAGATTTTTGGATTCTCTCCTTGGACCAACACAACCTCCAGCTACATACCACCTTCAACAACTACAGATATGTGCCCTCAAATAAGGATTAGGGATTTACCATCTATTCAGAGCTTTTCACTTATTTACTATATTAGCCTTGCTTCAGATTTCACCAAATTCAAATTTAAGTAATTTGTAAATGCTGGCTTTATCCAGCTGTTGCATCAACAACAGGGACTTGGACTGCACATTCGTAGCTTTAGCTGATACTGCAAGCTTTCACACATCATCATGATGTTATTTCATCAAGTCCTCAGTTCCTGACTCTTGATTATATATTAAAGGTCTCCTGCCACAAAACTTAAAAGAAGGAAAAAAACCCTATAGGAAATTCAGCTTTTTGTATCATCTTTTTTTCTGGTACTGAACTAAAGGGGTGGGAGACATATAAAGATTTTTTTTTCCTTACATGTGGATTGCTATAGCAAGCTGTACTAAAATACTAAAGCTTTTTACAGAGTTCATAAAAGCAAAATATCCAAATGTGCAATAGTTCAGCTGAAAGATGAATTCTAAGCATCCCATGTGGCAAAACAGCAAATGATCCAGAAAGTTCAATCAACTCCATGTCACTGAACCTGGGGAATTGAACTTGTTCTAGAAATTTCAGAGAAACTAGTTATCTGTCATACTGTAAGTTATCTTTGCTTTGTTTACAATAGTTTAGAAAGAATCAAAACCATTGGTTTTGGAGAGCATTACAAAATGTTAGCTTATAAGCAACTGATAGACATTGCCATTTTTTATATTAACATTATACATAGAGTAAATACTAGAGAGGTTTTAAATTTCTGTAATCTAAAAAAATGTTGCAGTCAGCAGAACACAGAATTATATTCCTTTAACGTAAAATAACTGGATTCATATTTTCAGAGGCAGGTGCAGACTAGAGTAGCATATTGGGTTTTTTTTTAATTTTTTTTTTTTTTTTTTTTTTTTTTAAACTGATGTGCTGTCAGAAACACAAGTCCATTTAAAATTATTACAAATAACTTTCACTGACTTCAAATATTATATAAACACACTGGTCACTTTCTTCACAGCAGAAGAGAATCCTGGTAGCATTCAGCCCATAATCCTGCACTGAAAAACCAATGCAGAATCATGAACAAATATTTTAATATAAAAAAACCTCCCAACAAAAAACAAAACAAAAAAAAACCCCAAAGACACCCTGTGTATAAAAAACCCCCAGCTTGGGCTTTTATAAAAGCAGTGGAGCATCAAACAATAAAGTAAATTAAATGTTATTACCCGCAAAAAGAACACCTTTAACCCCTCCCTCCTAAGAAGTTAGTTACCAATAATTCTCAATTTTTGAAAATACTGCTTTGCATTTTCAAATTCAACAATACTACATTTTTAAAAATCTTGTAATGTCCAAGCAACTTGAACATTTACGATGTTAGAACAGATGCATAAAAAACTAAAAGGAGTATAAAATTGAGTACTTCAAGGTGTAAGAATGTTAAAAGAACATTCAACTTCTCAGAGTATTGCAATGGCATTGTCATATTGCTTTGTAAAGAAAAACTTTAATACTTACGTAATATTAGGATCCACTTGTTTGTAAGCATGGGCTGCGCAAGATCCACAATAGGTATAGCCTGCATGGCTGCAAATCAAGGTGTGCAAAATATTAACATTAACTATTGTTTAACATCTTAAATATGTTGATATTGTTATTAAATGTTAATGTCTTATTTGTCCTCAATGAACTAGAAATAGTAATACAAAAATCAATTCCTGAAGAAGCTGGAGAGCACTGTTGCAGTACTGAACATGAGAGATGTATTTGTTAAAGAACTGTCAGTGACCATTTACTTGGAAGTTATTAATTCCCCAGATCAAAGCACCTCTTGTCACTTGTAAAAGATACTAACAGGCAGACTACACAACTGCATATTACCAGAAGCTCATGATAACGCTAAGATGCAGTCAGGGGACAAGGGAATAGCAAGCTGCTGGAGAAAGCTCTTCTAATCACACTCAAATAACTGAATATGATGACAGTAGAGGGGTCTGGCAAAGAGAGACTACATGTTATAGCAGATAAACAGACCAAAAATGCTCCGTCATCAAAGAGTACCGCAGCAATAGAATGAATGGACACAAGTAAAGGAGTGGAACACAGCATGGTAGCTTTTACCACAGAGAATGCAGTATGTGCTTTATCATTTCTTATCACTCTAGCCTGGAGCCCTTCTCAACCTGTGTTCCTGTACGTGCTCCAAAAACTCATAATTATTCTCTCTGCTTGTTTCAAACATCACATCGAAATCTTAAGACCCACTCCCTCCAGGACTGTTAAAAACAGTAGAAGACTCCGTTTACACCACTAAAAGCATTAATTCCAGAAAAGGTTCATTCCTTGGGCTCCCAGGCCAAGTGGTAGAGAACAGCTCACGGCCACTCAGCAGCACATCCACAGCAGAAGGCCATGCCCACACTGCACAGCACTGGGGCCTCATCAGCTCTGGAGATCAGAAGCACCTGTGACCCTAGGTCAATAGTTATGTTTTATTCTGAATCAAGTATGTGCAACAACACAACTACAGCTTTCCAGAGGGTCTTTTTATGCAATGATGCTGAGAATGATACATGCTGCAAGTCCTGGGACATACAGGATGTTTGAAGATACAAAGTTCCCTGCTGACAGCACTGGAGGATTTTATATTTATTTATACACATGTATGTTTGCATGCATGTATATTCATCCACAGAGTGATACCTGCAGCAAGTTATCCTCAAAATTACCCATGGGTTTTACTTCAGTGTCATTTACCTCACTCATTCTAAAGAGCTCAGAAAGATATTATGAGCCATATCCCACTTTACAGATGGTAAAACAAAGGCACAGTTAATGATGCAATTTGGTGAGACCACGGGAATACCTCCAGCAATTCTGCAAAACAACTCAGGTTACCTAATCTAGAGCTGAAAAGCCTCTTTGCTGACATAGCTGTGAGAAAGACTAAGGCAGATTCTGGACAATTCCTTCTGCATATGCAATACTAATATGGAATACTTCAAACATTATGTCAACACTCTGTTAGCACAGGAAAAACGTCTTATTTAAGGTGCTTTTTCTAGTGTTTCCTTCCAACTCATAATAAACTGGAATGACCAACATACTTATTATATGTCTCAAGTACCTTCAGGAAATTTAATTCTATCTATAGTTTAGATGATCCCTATTTCTGCTGTGGACAAAAAAAACCAAACAAAACCAAACTAAAATAACAAAAGTAAACCATTTTGTATAGCTGAATAGTGTTTCATTACTTTTTGTTTTAAGCTTTGCTAAATTTTTATTGGGGGGGGGGGGAGTGTGTGTGCCAGAGTTTTGGTTTTGTGTTTTGTTTTGTTTTTTAAATAGGTGTAGCTGTTCTGTACTAGAAGTGCATTGAAAGAGCTGTCACCTTAGACCACCACTCCACTAACAAACCTCTTATCTGTCTTACTGGAGCACAAGCGAGTGTTAAATCTGCAGTCCATCAACAAAAGAAAACTAATATACCAAGATGTGCACAGATTTCTTCCATTCTATGCCATATTCAAAATACTTATTTAGAAACCACACAGCATTCCTTTCAGCAAAATACTAGCTTTCACCAGTTTTCAAAATCACTCAAAATAAAGACGCATTTAACCAATCAAGTATTATATGTACTACAGAGATTTCACACTTACGGTGCAATAATGGCTCTAGCAGGTCTTTTTGTGGACTGTACTTGAGAAAGCCAACCTTCTAGTTGTGCATTCAGCTGGGGTCCTATAAAGAGAGAAGGAAATACTGAAGCTACAAAAGAATCTAAAATACCTCAAGAATTAACAAACAAAGTCCAAAAGTCCAACAGATTTAAAATCATCTTAAACATAAAAGTCTGTGTTTAAATCTCAAAAAAAAAAGTAAACCCAACACATCTGTAATGTTGAAGATTACAGTAGGAAAGTGTCAACCTCTTAGTCCAGAAGTTCATTTATTGCACATCCAAACAGTTTCTTGCTCTGTGGACTGATGCACATACCATTTCATCATTAGAAAAGATGGTTGCTGATCTCAAAAGAGAGTCTAACAGATGACTGATTCCTCTAGTTATCACATTTGCAGAATTCAGAGGTAAAAATTTACAACAGACTACACCAAGAGAGCCTCATATAGGAAGATGTTATAATATAAAGACCTTACATACTGACACTACAGCCAATGGCTATAGTATTTAGTCCTTTATTGTTATCAAGCAAGCATAAGAGCAGAACACAAAGCACACTGTAATCTGGGAAAACTGTTAATACAGAGGGAAAAGCTAAAAGTGAGAAGACACCATGCTTATACTAATGCCTTAACAACTTCTGATTAAGCATCTTATATCACAAGTACATAAACATCTTGACAACATTTAACTTTGCCAACTGGTCAATCCAGTATATAACTTTTTAAATAAAAAAATAAATTCTGTACCTCAGCAAGTGGCAAATATTCTCAATTCAATTAGCTGACTAATTTTATCAGTGATAAAAAATGCTTTCTAGAAATACAAAGTTAAGAACACGCATGTATTTTGGTTATTTCCCATCCCAAAGAAAACTTCTGATGTAAAGCTATTCCTGAAGAAGCACGTCTAGCAAACAATGTTCTTTAAATTAAAGAACACAGAACAAACTTTCAAGTAAAATTCATTCAGCTGCTATTATTACAAGTAACATCTCATTAACAAACAGAAAAATAGATTACTTTTTTTCAGCTGATACTATGCTTTTGACAGAACTGTATGTCAGCAGAGTTTATCTGTAAAGTATGGTGCAGTAAGCCTCTTTTCTTCTATCACACATGTTGTAAATTTTTGTATCTTTCCCATGCAGGTGTAAAACCACCAACTGCCAGGAAAAGTCAAAACCAAATTAAATACCTGAAACTATTTCATAGCTACGTTCCAAACAGCCCAGATGTCAATCTGACAGCTCTTCAAAAAGCTGACAAGAACTACAGAGAACCAGAGCAAAGATGTCAACTTTTGCAGAATCCAGTCAGTCACACACCAGTGATAGCCAAAAAGCTCCTCTAAAAAACCTGGGAAATGGGGGCGCCAAAGCCACCACCTTTATACAAAACTTAAATTCATATGTTTCATGAAAAAAAAGGATGACTTCTGTGGTTGTAAAGAACCCTACCTTCTTATATGAAGGCACTAGTGCAGTGCCGTTTCCCTGAGTCTGCAATCACCCTGAGCGCCTTAGTTGCTGTCTACAGCTCTAACAAGGCAATAGTGTGACACTGATTAGCCACTGTCACTCCCGTAATACTGCGACTTTGTGAAATGATGAAATTGTAACAAAAAAATCTGAAAAAACACACACCAATTTTGTTCTGCTGCGTCTGTTGCTTGGGGAAAATTACAAACAGCAGAGACATACAGTAGAGATAAGTATAATGACATCTTAGAAAATGGAGGCTGCTGGGAAAGCTAAGGAAAAATAAATAGATCTCTATTTCCATCCTCTTTCTAACCTACTAGGCGACTAGCAAAACAGTATTCTATTACAGTCTTACCACTTTTATTTTTTATTACTTCAGTGTGAAGACACAAATCACTTCAAAAAAAATTGACTTCCTAATGCTCCCAAAGTATGTAGAAGGACAAAGTATTTTCTAAATTAAGCTCTTCAGGAGAACAGGTTTTTTTTTCCAAACACCTATTACCCAGAGAGTGTCACAAAACATGACTCTACACCACCTGACCCCTTTTCCTCAAAGATGATGATCCACAGGCAGCACAACACCAGAAGGGCCAGAATCTCTCAAGCAAAGCAAGGCAGCTTTGGGACTTTATTCTCCAACAAGGCACAGTGCTTGGCCTTCCTCCACCCCTTCTTTAGCAATGTTTTTGATTAAGAAGGTGGTTAAGGCGATTTGTCGTTGGTTAAGACAAATCGGATAACTTGCTGAACAGTTTAAGACAAAGTTCAGAATCTCTGGTCATTTCCTAAAATTCCATATGACTCTTCAAAACTGGCCAAAACTTCTGATCTTACAATACAGTAACAGATTAAGACACCCAGGTTTGCTTAGTCTGATATTACAGACACACACTCTGACAAAGTAACAAATATTTTTTTCCTATAGGCAGTAAGATAACAGATCTGTATGAGCCAAGGGATGAAACTTCTGTCAGTGTTTACTTAAGGACCAGACAACACAACTGGTTTCAGATTTTTTTTCCCCTTTAATGCAACTACAAGGTGCCTTTTTAAATCATTAACTCCGACTTAATGTAAGTTTCCATTTCAACTGATACTTATTTGTACTATTTTAATAAACATGTAATAAAATCTCTCTCTCCAAAGGACTAACAGAAAGAAAGGAGTAAAACATATCCACATGACCTTTCAGCTACAGTAAAAAGAAAAAAAACAAACCAAACAAACAGCACCCACGTGAACTGACAGGAATATAGCCTACCTGCAGCTTCCTATGCTTACAAATACTTTAAGGAGGATATTCTAAAACTGTAATTTTCTTGTTATCAAATTAGTATAAACTTTTTGTTGAAGTATTTAGAGAAACTTTTCTTCCAGTTTCTCAGACATGACAATGCTTAAGGCCGAAGTCAAAATATTTTAATTGGAGATACAAAATATAAATAAACCCACATTATCACAGTAGATAAACTCTGTCATGTGGAATGGTATTATAGGAGACGAGTGGCTTCTTCATGAAGAGCTCCAAAAGTAAATTCTGTTCATATGTAAGTTAAGTTAAACTGAAAGAAAGTATTTGCAAATAGTCACTGAGATAATGGCAGTAAATATCCATCTCCTAAACCAACAAGCATGGGTAAGAAATAGCTCCTCCTGTATTGGTGGCAAGTAGGAGAGGTACCTGCTCCTCCAGCCACAGGTGGAAAGCCCAGCTTGAGAAAGTGGCAGGATGAGCACAACAGGGTTTTTAAGGCTAGCCCAGATAGAAGGACAGAAAGCTTTATGGTTGCAACAATCAATACACTTTAATACTGTAAGATCAGACCTTTTATTGATTAAAGGAAGATTAGGTGGCAAAATATGAGCTTCACGGAAGCACATAGCATTAAGATCTGCATTTCAATCCTATGAAGTAAGGTATAAATATAGGTATGTAACTAAAGAACGTTGACATTATCTGCGGATATTTCACATCCTGTTTTGTTTTGCAAAGCAGCAGAAGTTATGCCAAATTAAAAATAATTGCAAGCACAGATCAAGTCTCCACCAAACAAATTTATGGATACGCCTATAGGCAGCATTTATTCAAATATCTTGCCGAAAAGGGTAAGTTATTTTTACAGTCGTTACCCCCTCACAAAGCACTACAGTTAGTGAGAAGAAAGCATTCCACGTTAAATGCATGTCAGTGTTACCCAATGAATAATAACATAAAGACATCTCGTAGTCACACACTTAGGTTCATCACCTCAATTTACAGCTGTTAAACCAAACCAGCACATTCTTTCCACAGCTAAGCTCACCTCATGCCATGAGGCTGAAGTGCTTGTATGCCAAGTGACAACACAATATATTTGGAACTTGCTCCTGTACCAGCAGCCACCACTACTAGTGCAAAATCCACTTTTCAGATTGGTAGGGATGACAGTACTTGCTCCAAATCCTGTCTCAGTGAATTATTTTTTTTTTACTGGAAGAGCATAAGTCTCAACCCAAATTCAGAGCAGCACCAAGTAAAACTGCTTAGGTCTCCCTTGGTCGCACATGTACAGCACTCGCAGCAATGCAAGTAATACTGGAGCACAATGATAGTAATGCTGCAGTCACCAGCTTTCACACTTCTACTTGACAGCTTTTACTTGTCTAAGCATGTCTCCTACCCTAGAGGAGCCAACATTTTTTTTTCTGAGCCGTACTCCTTTTATCTTTTAACTATCTTTACCCATTGATGAAGAAATCTACACATCGAAAATACTTGTAGTAAGTATTACAGCATATGTACTAAGAAGTAAGGAGTCTTTATTCTTGTAGGGTGCTAGAAAAGTCAAGGTAAGCAACAGTGAAACCTTGGGGGCTGGCACACAATTAAATTAATTTGGTAACTGGAAATAAGGGAACTCCTCTCACACAACTATGAAGGTGAATCCAAAACATTTCATTCATCTGTCCTGAAACATGACAAAGGACTAACTAGTTTCTCTTCTTAGTCAAAACTGCAAAAAGTATATAAAGATTGTTTAAAAGCACACACGCCCCACGTGAAAAAAATCCATTTCTCATTGCAACAAAAGCCAAATCCTTGAATAAAGAACAAGTTTTAGCTATGCAGAGACTAGGATTTGCTGGGAGTTGACGTTGATTTCCAACAACTCATGTCGATGGGCACATTCTCTACTGCTAGCATATACTCTCTTCCAATACTGAATATTGATGAATTGGTGAAATCAGCCTGTAAGTGAGGCAGAAATTTACTTATGCAAACTATAGGACTGGGGACAAAAAAAAAATTCAGATACAAATAAAGATTACACTGATGCTACATAAGCTCCTATTATACAGATTGCAAGATGAACATAAACCAGTAGGTAACGCTTGAATGGGGGAAAATAAAACTGAAGCCACAACAGAGCACTGAAATCTGCTTTGGTGGCAGTTCTCACTTGCATGTCCCAGTTTTCTAGTATTCCACTAGCTCTTTAATTTCCTTACTGAAAATTATTAGAAAATAAATAATCAATCTATAATGCCACTCTAAGAATATCAACCAACATGCACCTACCTATCTTTAAAAAA